GGGCCAAAAAAAAGGATAAGAGATTAGGAAGGGAAAAAGAGGATATAAAAGGAAAAAGGGGTATAGTTTATAAAAATACAGCTATAAAAAGGCTTTTTTAAAGTGGAAAAAATTAAAAAAAGAGAAAATACTAAATACATTCTGTATGTACAGTGTACATCTTCAGTAACCGTAATGTTTATTTATATAAACCATTTTATGTAACAGCAACAGTCTGCAGTATCTCATAAAACAGATCCACTGACGAGAAACATTAGAGTTAACAGTTTGTCTGAGAGAAGCAACTTACTACCCTTCCTCCAGTATTTAGAAGCATGATAATTCTTCAGACAGACAGAAGTGTGGCATATCTGTTGTTTATCTGCATTGCAATTAAGATCAAAATCTTCATTAAAAGCAAACGAGAAGCTGAAACAGTAGTGACTTACTGCGATTCGCAGATTTTACATGACAAGTTACAAGCTGCTTAAACCGGCCCAACTTGCATTATATTTGGGTTATGCGCATGAATATATATATACACATACTGACTATATATACACTAACTGACATACATTACACAATGAAGCAAGAGTTAAATGTGTTTCCTATTAAACAAATGCGGGTGGTCTGCTTCTCAAGCAGTATTGTGTCAATTAATTTTGTAAAGCAGTATAGTGCTTTACATAGCTATGTTTCATTCTTCCATCAAAGTGTATTAACATCTCTTTCAACCAGTACAGTAGAAAAGTGGTCCCATCTTTACTGGAAGCAATAGTACGACACAACAGAAATATCAAGCTTTGATTATCAATTTCTTTCCATTCTACATTTTTAATTGCATCTTTTAAAGTATTGTGCCATTTGAAACAGAATATACATCATTTACCATATAGTTAAAACTCAGGCTTTATCATAAGGTATTTTCAGGTAACACTTTTTTTCTGTGTTATTTAAATAACAGGGATGTATTCTGGATGAAATAAATGTTAACTCATGAATGGAAATCTGCAAAAACTCACTTTACAAAGTAGTCTTGGAAGCAGATGGGAAAAATTCAACAGAATAGTACTAAGCCGGCTACAACAGTCGTCATACATCTTTCTCCATGGTACCCTCTCCTCTGAGGGTACCGGGGTTTTTTTGTGGGGTTTTTTTGTTCTTCTTTTGGTTTTTTGGTTAGTGGTTTTTTTTTTTTAAAACAACCACTATGTCCCTAATGTGAGAGTTATTTCAATATGCATAAGCAGTTTCCCGAGCAACAGACGATTGCATGGAACAGAAAGATTTCTGGTGTCCAATAATAAAACTGAACTAAGGGCACAGGTTCCCCGTAACACAATCAGTGAATTTGTATGCCCCTCCTCTACCCAACCACTTGCTTCGCATTTAATTTGTAGGTACTGATCTTCTATCATCTTGTCATAATTAGCCAAAACTGACAAATATGTTAAAAATGGTTGGTGAGAGTCTGAAAAAAAACACACGTGCAGGTGCAAGAGGCTTTCACAGAAATGACACACTAACAAAGTTACACACAGAGGAAATAACGTTATTTTGTTTTCATTACTTAAATTATTCTAAAGAATAAGAACTATTGATAGATTGTCTTTTATGAATTTCAGAAATCTCCTCTCAATTCTTCCCAAGACGACATGTAAAAATCATCCTTTGTGTTATAAAGTTTCTCATAAGGGTAAAATTCTGATTTTGCAAATCTGTTTTTCCAAAGTTGCTTGTGGAGATTGCTATAAAATCTCAAAAGAGCTAAACCTGTATTTTGTGTTACACAAAGAAAATTACAACTGTGGATGTTCTTATATTGTATTTCACCAGAAAATGTCCACATTTTTATAGCAGGGCTGAAGTAATGAGCTACTTAATGACATATAGTGTGTTTAAGTCACTTTGGTTTCTTGCCCAAAAACTCTCTTCAATACCACTGCCACCCCACAAGCAAATTTATACCACAAGTGAAAATTTATACTTCCAAAGATAAACTTTCATCTCTCTTGTGGCAAACCTTACGCAGTATATCAAGAATTTTTAATAAACATGCATCTCTTCATCTTCTGTAGTTTCTGCATATTATACAAAATATTCTCTCTATTAAATACAGATTTGGTTGGTGTTTTCTTTTTCTTGTAGAGAAAGAAAGGAAGGAACATCTTTCCACTGACAAACTTTAAGAAACTTGAAACAAAAGGAAAAATAAAATCCTTTACATTGGCTTGAGCTTTTCTAGCTGTGATTGGCAAACGCAAGGTTGATGACAGTAGATTTTTCATTTAAGTCTAAAATAATGCATCAAAGTATTACTGCTCAAAGCAGAAGCAAACCACATTGTTAGGACAACCACCTAATTTAGTTCCCATGCTAGGGTTGCACTCAGTTTTTGGTAGATTTTACAGAACAACACTTCACCAACAAAAAACAGATGGTCGGTGAACTGGTAAAGCAAAGTGGATTTGCTATGGCAGGGTTCTTCCCAGTCTCCCTCTGACAAATATCAGGGATGAAATCATGGCACAGCCAAACTCAACAGGAGTTCTGCCACAGGACTGAACATGGCCAGAATCTCACCCTCGAAAGTTATGAGTCATCCATATGCTCACTCAGAGCAAATTCATAAACAGGCTACTGAAATCAAACTTCATTTCAACTTAATTATTTGCAGTGATGACACATTATGTTATTACATAAAATCATAATTTCTGGACCATTGTTGTTACTATTAAATCTGCTGCTTCATTAGTTTACATGCATTTTCTTCCTTTGTTGCCACAGTATTCTTTCTCATTGATAGTAGCAAATCTCAATAACTATTAACATTTAGGCATCCAAAAATGTAAACTCTAGTCAGATTTACCCGGAGTGTATTTTTTCCAGAAGGCGCACACAACCCCTACAGCTTGTTAGGGACTGGTTCCCAAAAGAAAGCAACACACTAGTCATCATGAAGAAGAAATAAAGATATGCTTCAGATTCCTGGATCCCAAACCTTCCAAACCGTGCTTGTGACATCAAAGACACAAGACAGCGGTTTCTGTGCCTATCATTCAGAATGCTGCTGCTTATGATCCACTGCTGTTACATTTCTGCTATTGCAGACGTTTTCCAACTGCAGGGATCACTTCTATAATCCAATTTGTTCATGGTCAGAATGCCTTATATAAATGACATAATCCCTAGTTTGAGCATTCAGTCACATGAGCACATTTCTTCCCCATGCTCACATTTTCAAAAATCTGTTCTTCCTACACAAATAGTTATAAACTCACCCATTTAATCTGTGATCACAGATCTAAGCAAAGGGAGAAAAGGGCTGCTAGTGACTTGCTTTAACATTGGAGCAAGATTCATTTCTTCATGTGTCTAAAAACTATTGTCAACAAAAATCTAAGTTTTAAAAACACAATGGAACAAGGTCATTTACACTGATGACATCAATAGATAAAAAGGTTTTGGAGATCAAAATTACTTTGAATCATAATAACAAAAACACATATTTAATATATTTCTAGCTGAAGTCTGAAGTCTTTTGTTTCAAGTATGTAACGAGACAAAAATTGGCCTAATGCAGCAAATTGAATGGGTTCATTTTGCCTATTAATTTCCCTGAGATAGCCAGCAAATTACTAGAAACAAAAGCAGGTCAATAGGGCTGTATTTCCTCAGCTGAGCGTAAAGCAAGCACTGCAGTCTCAACATCAAATATTCTTCATGTTTTCTTCCATGTAACTATCAAACACATTGCCCTAACAGAAGCACAAAAACAAAACATCAAATTCTTCAAACACCATTCAAAATAAGCTCTCTCTGGCTAAGTTCTTAAGCCTTAATTGGCATTTCAAACCGGCAACTGCATACAAAACACCCTAGTATAACAAATCACTCCCACTCTACTAATCCATTGGTGACCTACATATGATGTGACTATAAAGAATCTTTTAACAGTGCGATCTACTGGCATATTAAAGTCTAGTTCAATTAGTAAAGTTGATCATTTTTCAACTCTCAATTCCACACTAACATTTAAATTTGTTTCCGCTTTACATGCATAGCAAAAGTGTCACACAAGAGCTCTAACACTTGTGTCAGATGCTTGGCTGTATGAGAGGCCTTGACCTACCTCCTTTACTGGAAAATATTTACGCCAGAGCACATGGAACAGACTTGGCTGTCCTCAATGTATTCACCGAGTAATTCTCTACTAGAAGTCATCATATCAGAGCAAGATCCCCACGTCCAGATTTTGCTTCACTCAAAACTAGTGGTTATGCCTACTATATTGTATATGTCCTTGCTCTACATGAAGAAGATGCCCATGTCCAGATTCTTCTTTTCACTTAAAACTAGTGGCTATGCCTACTATATTCTATATGCAAAATACATTTGATTCACTTTAAATTGACAAAAATTGCATCTTCAGTATAAGTAATATCTGTTCACTACTGCATAATAGCTTTAATAACCAAAAGACTCAGGCGCACTGGAGCAGACAGAAGTACATTAGCATCATATGCATTGCTGCCATGAATCCACAGACCTTACGATACTTAATCTCTCCTTTATCAGAGATAGCAAATTTCTTCCATCTCAACATCAGTAAGTCTTTTGAAATAATACACATAAATGGGAAGTAAAAACCTAAGATTCAAGACCATACTGTTTTGAACACTTGAACACTTTAAATTTGCGTAATTTGTTTTATTATTTGATCCATTATCTGAGAAAGCAGTATTTCTCCGATATTTACTATACTTGGTGCGCTCACAGCTGGCAGTTGCAAAGAAATCTGAATTCAGATTTCAAGATTGAGGAATTTCTGGTGAACACCCACAACAAACTAAATTAAACCAGTCCATTAGGATTCCTTCCTAAACAAAAGCTAACAAAACATCTGTCTGGCAACAACAATACATACCCCATTCTTACAAAACGTAGTTTAACTGCAAGTAACAGACAGTTTCTGCCTTATCTACACAGTATAAATTCAAAAGTTTCAGTATTATACTCACAGCGAATTCCGTAAATCATGAGAGGATCAAGTTGCTTCTTCCCATGCTTCCCCTGACCTGAAAGGTTGGAGATGGCCTGAATTTCCCGATGAAAGAGATAATCAAGCAATGTCAGCGCCATCTTCTCGGCTGTGCGGCAGTTCGTGCTGATGTGCAGCATGTCAGCAGGGGTGATGGGGCAACGGACCCGCATCTCAGGATTATTTTCATCTCCAAGCCATGTCCCATTGGGGTAATCCTCTAAAAACAGAGATTGCGGAAATTCTAATTGTGACACAGGATGAAACAGTCAGGTTCAAGTTACAGTCAACATTTCTGAAGTTAGCATGAGTTCTTCCAGTTTTCTTCGTAGTCCCCATAAAATTCTTTAAAATTTAGCATGACTAACAGGCTCACAAGATTTGCTACAGCTAAGAAGTTATTCTCACATTCACACCAATGGTGACCAAAAGTTATTGCCATTAATGTTCTGGCCTACACAGGGAACTTGTGTAACTAGTCCAGCTGTCTAACTTGCTCCCAGATATCTTAAGTGTCTCATACCAGAGGCCAACAGCTGAAAGAACATACTATACTCACAGTGTTCTCATTCATCAAGTTAGTCATCCCCTAAAAATGAAGATTACTGCAACCCCATAATACTCTTAAAGTACAGCTAATTTCAAGAAGCTAACAGCTTTGAACCACATTTTTCCCCCAAAGCATCAGATTAAAATAAGTACAAGCAAGACTATAAATTTACGAAATTATAATCAATAGTGAGCAATAACTTATTTAATCACTTAAAAAGAATATTTCAAGCAATGACAATCATTCAAAATGTAGCCAGAGACCCCAACAAAAATGAAGGTTTTTTCTTCAAATTTACTGGCCAGTAATCTACATTATTCCCTAAACAACCAGTTTACCAAGGAACAGGCTCAGCATAAAGATAATGAATCAACCGCTAATCATCTGCCAAGTGTATCTTCCCTTCTATTCAAGCATAAGGTCATTAGCAGCAGAACTATACCTAACTTCTCTTGTCTATACACACACATTCTTTATCGAAAAAAGGTTTTTTGATTTCTGTCCCAGCCTCTCAGTTTGGCGGGAAAAACACTATTCGTTGCAAGAGGAATACTAAGCCCTAGCTTGAAATTAATCTTTGTAGACAATGCCAAAAGTCAGTGGATTCAAGACTAATCAGAAACAAGAGCAGAGCTCATAAGGATGACCAGTCCCTACTGAAGTGGAAGATGCAACACAGGACCTAGGATGAGACTCATTCCAGATTAAAAAAAAATTTCCAGTACAAATCTCGACAATGCTAATAGGAACTGGATAGAACAACATTCCAGTACTATTGCCATGTGCACTGACACAGACCATTTGGATTTGATTTCTATGTTTGCTCAACTTTGTGGAGTAAAACAAAGCTTTCAGACTTGGGAGTCACTCAGCCCTTCCATACTACAGCTTTATAGTGCTTCTCTGTTTTACACACCTTCAGAATGGCAAAAACGTGAACAAGTCATTCAATTACATGATTTATCTTTCATTAAATGCCTTTAGAGTAGAGTCTCATGGTATACACAAAGTCACAAACTCCTGGTTTCCATAACCCTTCTAGTCACAAAATCAGGTGACGAGTTCAGACAGATGAGCATATCCTTTTCACATTGAACAGGACCCCTGAGCAAGCAGCATCTTTATTTCCAACTACTGGCACAGGTTAAGCAGCCTGCATTTTACTGGACTACAAGCCACAAGTATGCAATAAAATATAACATAAAAGCAACTCAAACGCTAAAAAAGACTTTTCCAACATGACCTTTGGGTTGAGTCATACCACATGTCAGATGCAAGTTTATTACACTGAATAATGACAGTACGAAGCAAACATTAGATTATGCAATACTGATACATCATTATAAACCTCAGATTATCAACTAAAATAGTTTCTAAGGAAAAATATTTATTGCTGATGTATGTAGCAGCTAGTCCCTCAAACTTTTTTCTCTTGAAATCAGAACTTAATGCTCTGTTCTGAATATACTCTCATACATTTGCAATTTTTTTTATACACATTTTATTTGAACCTTACTTTTTATCCTGAACTATGTAACAGGGCACACTAGCTGGTTTTTTCTGCTCACAGCACCAGGTGCCATCTGAAAAATATGGTGGTTCAGATTAATTATAACTTGTTTTGAATGCCACTCTGTCTGGCCTCACCACAGGCCTGGTTAACATTATCAGGGAAAACAACAGTCTGTTCCTGAAGATAAATTGACTGTTTTATAAAAATTTGGGCAGAGCTGGCAAAGCAAAAGCATCTCTGGATAAACGTGTAAGTTCTTCAAAGAAATTCTAGGAAGCCTGAGTAAATGATTTTACATCCCATCAAAATCTTACTTCCTTACCAGTTCACAGAATTACTATTAGATATAAAAGTTATTACTACTTACGGAACTCCTTTCACCTACAGTCTTGTTTAACAAATGCAATCAATCTACATGAACCAAAGAGGTTTTCAATTTGCAAAATAATTTTTTCTTTTTCCTTTTTTTTTTTTTTTGTACTGGCACAGAGTCCAGAACATACTGTTTTTACCACATGCGACTGTTCTTTTATTGCCAACAGCCTGGAAAAAAGACATTATCTTGTTATTCTGACCTATGAACACTAGCCCCACATTAAATTACCTCTTGCATTTTCCTCCTGCTCTAAAAGGAAATTTGCTTTAAAATCATTTTGCATTAAGCGGAACTCGCACGACTAAAGTTAACCACGACTCTACTGTCTCACCGCAGCTACTTGAGGGCAGAAAAGTTGAACTATTCCTTATCATATATAAAAATAATTCCTACCAGCCTGCCAACACATGTGGTAGTTTGCACAGAGCAAATACGATGAGACTGGTACACCCAAAAAAATGGTGAAAAGAGGAAGTACAGTGCCAGTTACGAGGGAGGCAGAACTGCTCTGAACAAGGGGAGTGGTATGGGAGAAGACAGACTGAATAAAGAAAGAGAAAAAAAAAGACTGGGAGTTTGATGGAAGCTCTCTCTGAACAACTAAGTACATAAATACTATTGATTAAAGTTGCATAATTTGAAGCTCCTGGCACTCAAACATCCTTTTATGCTTACGGAATGGTTCTTTTCATGTATTATCAGGCATTATACATAGTATTTAGATAGAATCTAGATGAGTCAGGTTATTTAGTACACACATTGTAAGAGTCAGATACCAAGTCAGGACTCCACTAGGCACTGTACAATCATACACAGCTTCCTCTATTCCTTAATGACTACCAAAACACAAATAACGTGAAGAGGAAGAATATAGTGAAAGAACACACTTTTCTTAAAAATAATGAAGCTTAAATGCACACACTCATCTGTACTCACTTAATCACACCTTTATCTTGTTTTGCCCTAAAGTATTTTTCTTTTGTTAATGGCCTTGCTGCATTTTGAGTGCTATGTGGAAAGGTACTTCCTTGTGTTTCTTTATGACAAATATTATACCAGAGAAATGGCTCTTGATCATTTCCACTTCCACTGTTAAAAGTCCTGACATTTTTATCTGATTTCCTCTCTGTACTCAGAAGCTCATTTCGATGACAGACAAATTCCTAGTTCCTCTTCAATGTTTTTTTAAGATCAGAAAATTTGCTTTTATCTCCATTCTACTGAATCCAGAACTGGTTTGCTTTTCAACACTGTTTTCAAATCTTTTTTACTGTATTAAGTCCATTTCTTTTATCTCACAACACAGTTGACCATTCTTCTGTTTCGGGAGGGACGTGCGAGAACCGAGAGGCGGCTGGGGCTGCTATGCAAACAAGCATTTCTATGGAAACAGGACGAGGCAGCTTTAAGGTTAGTATCAAGAAAGCTTATGTCAAGAGAACAAAAACCAGACAAGAGTTGCTGTGGCTTTCAGACTCACTCTCAACATGTGTATGTGTTTTCCCGCCCAGGGAGATGACAGACACTTAACTGTTACTCATGTTTTTCCATTGGGATACACTCCCCTATAGTTTGACACGTGAGCATTAGCAATCAGACTAGAAGCAAAGCTAGGCTCTGCTCTCTCACTACGTGCTGTCAGTCACTCCTTTGAAACAAGGAAAAACTAGAGGAAACACCTGCCCACAAACATTTGAATTAACATGTTCCATTCTTCCGAGTAGTTGTGTTTATTTTACTAACAAGGCTGGGTGCAAATCTGGCATTTGCAGCAGAGAAAAACGACTGGTAGCTACAGTACAAAGGCAGAATGACGAATCAACCTTAAAAAAAAACAGATTCTAACCTACAAAAATAAATACCCATTTCTAGAGAAATGAAGTAATATTTTGGCTGATGTGTAGAAGATTCAGCATCAATTAGCCCAAGCCCTTTGCCCCTGCAAGAGTTCACAGGGGTAGCTATTAACTGAGAGAGACTACAGAGCACTGACTTTATTAACTAAGAATCATCAAATAAAAGGAACAGAGTGACAATGAGGCTATATGTTAACCTACAACTCTAGCAACATGATTTAAAGCTTGTGCTAAAAGAAAGGTTAAAGAACTAGCTTTAAACCTATGTTCACCAAAACCTCCTCCCACCGCAAAAAGCAGTTAAGACGCTGGGAGTTCTGGCAAAAAGAAGCGTACAACACACACACCCCTCCGTGAACATCAGAAACCCTGGCCACAGAACTGGAGTTTTTCGCCTGACAAATCTCATTGGGGAAAAAAGGTTTCATTTCCATGTAAATATAAAAGAAAGATAGCCAGAAGAATGCCATGCTCCAGGTATAATCTTCTGTACGGCACAAAGGATTTGGCTAATGGAGACAGAGTTCCAGTTAACTTCTAAGCCCCGGTGGTTAGAGGACCAGCGCACTATACGAGATACTCTGAAAATATATCCCGCACCCTCCTGTGCTTATGGTTTTTCAGCTGACAGACAACACACAGCACGAAACACATACGGGCAGGCAGTACCAAGGCATGTTTGTCTCAGCAAATACTATGGTCTGCACAGAAGTCCCAGCATAACATCAGTGAGATTACTTGTTAAAAATAAGGCCTCAGTTTTAGTACATGGTTAAATCCATGAGGGAAAGGGGAGATTCACTTACTTTATGGCTCATGGAAGGTCAGGGAATTTATTCAAAAGAAGGAGAAAACGAGGACTATGCAATCATCTGTAATTCAAAACAATCAGCTAAAAAAAAAAATCCAGACAAAATTGAGAAAA